GAAACAAAATTCTTCCATGTTAACATCATTAAGGCAAATCCAACAGCATCCTTCCAATAATACTATTATGTTAGTCTACTCGTTTAGCAAGAAAATTAATCTTTGAATTTTCAATGAATCGCACATCATTTTGGACCTGTCTGCCTTCTTAGATAAGTCCATTTGAAATAATTGAAACAAGCACAATTAAATAAAAGTTTTCTGTCACCAACCACTTGTTAGTTCAAGTAGAAAGAACTCGATTTCCCTTAAATAAAATCTCGAGTTCGAGTTTTATAAATCGAGAAATAAGAATTGGGAGAGTTTCTTCTTTTATGGGTCCAACACGACATGAAATTAGTCGTATCCAATTTAATTATTGGATATTAGAATGTTAATATCAAAAAAATAAAAGTCTTTTGCCACTTGTACTAAACAAAATTTCCTTCTCAACCCTCAAGCATCCATTGCCTATTTTCCAAAACCCTCAAGCGGTTTCGATTATTATCTGCAGTTTGAGTGGGTCAATATTTAATGGAAAACAAAGGGAATGGAATCAAATTTTAAATTGCCATGAGATTTTTTTTTTTCTTTTGATAAAAACAATGATTAGTAGGTTAGTATTGTTAGAAGTTAGCAACTGGGGATTCGATCTCCAGACCGGATGAACAGCCCACCTGCCTTGAGGCGCGCGATCATCTGGCCGCTTGGTGGAGTTCACCATGAGATTTAAGTTTTTAGGGGACTTTTCTTGTAGTCTTAGCCATCTATATGACCAAAAAGCTAGCTAGCTTTCGTTTGTTTAAAGTCAGACTTTGAATTTTCCTAGTCTATAATGCCAGCAGCATATATAATAGGTTAAACCCCCTTTTTGGTCCCTCAACTATTGTACGGACCCCCGATTTAGTCCCTGAACTCAAAAAATCCCTGACTTAGTCCCTACTGTTTACCATTTTTACCCCAATTTGGTCCTTTTGTTAAACATCTCTCCACCTGTACTGTTAATTCACGGTAAGATGATGACATGTCAAAATTTTACTCCACGTGAAAGACAACATGGCAAAAACTAGTGACATGGCAATAAAAATTTTAAAAATTATTTCTCCTTCCTCGTCCCCTTTCTCCTTCCTCTTCATTTCCTGGACCCAGAGCCTGGGATCGTCGAACCCAGGCGATGGGATCCTTCAAACCCAGCTGGGCGTTCCTCGTTCCCTTTCTCCTTCCTCTTCCTTTCCTTCTTCATCAAAATCATCATCATCAAACAACACCCACAAAAACTTCATTCATCAATCAATTCATCAAACAACACCCACAAAAACTTCATCAATCAATTCATCATCATCATCAAACAAAACCCACAAAAATACTGAAATTATTTATTTATTTTTTTGTTAAAGAACCCAAGCCTGGATTCCTTTGAAGAACCCAAGCTTGTGAACCCAGCAACGGCCGTTCGTGTTTGCCGTCTAGGGTGTGAATGGCAAGAAGGAGAGAATGTAATGATTTTTGCAGGAGGTGGGCCCCACAATTTTTTTATTGGCTGAAATCTAACGTGTTTAAATGACATGGTATTGATCTGTAAATATTTTGACATGTCATCATTTTCCATTAGTTAACTGGACACATCATCAAATTTTTAACGGAAAGAACAAATCGGGGTAAAAATGGTAAACAGTAGGGACCAAATCAGGGATTTTTTGAGTTCATGGACCAAATCAGGGGTCCGTACAATAGTTGAGGGACCAAAAAAGGGTTTTAACCTATATAATAATATGAAATATTTATAGGTCTACTTAGTTTTCCACGTTGAGAAATTTTAGGTAGACTTTCACTAATTGTATTTAATTTTTAAAATAAGGTCAAATGAAAAATTAATTAATACAATTATTTGATTTAAGTGGATCTAAATTTTATTTTAATTTTATATGATGTGATAAATATATATATATGTAGAATTTAAAATTAAAGATAGGTGAGAGTATCCAAAATATTATTATAATAAGTTAAGTTTTTTTTTTCCATTAAAGGAAACCTCCTTTTCTATTTAAAAAACCATATCTTTATAAATAATAAAATTAGGAAATAATATGATCCATTAATTATTACTATACAAAAATTGAATAAGAAATAAAAAAAAAAACCTAAATCTTAATACTAATCATATTTGTTTTGTAAATTTTATATAAAATAAAATTATGATAATCTTGATGATTCTTGTATAATATTATAATCTAATATTATAACCTTGCATATAGATTAAGAAAATTAAGATACACAATTTATTTGTTTTATTATATCTTAATATTTTAAATTTCACGCATATTGAAACCTTATGTTTTAACATTTAAATAATCAAACTAACAAAGAGAACCAATAAATAACTAATAAAATATATCCAAGAGTTAAAGACTTTATTATGTTTCATTACAGTTATATACGAAGGCAAAAGTCCATAGAATACCTTTTAACTTTTTGAGTGTATGAAAATTTACCCATCCCATCATTTTATAATATGTGATTTTATATTTTTTTGATATTTAAATTTATAATTTTATACTCTTATGATATTTGAGTGTCTGACATGTTACTCTTAACCTTACAACTTTCGAGGGCTATACATGACTCTACAACGTTAAAAATTACTTTATTATCATAAACTCAAATACCAAAAAAATATAAAATCACATATTATAAAATAAGAGGTGAAATTTCATTCACTCAAAAAGTCAAAAGGCAATATATAAGGTTTTGCCTATACGTGAAAAGTGTATTTACCCAACGCATCATTTTCGAGCAAGCATGAATGTCAAAATCTACTAACGAGAGGTTGGATCAAGTGGTAAGTAACTTATTCCAGCTTAAGTAAGGTTTCGAGTTCAAGACCTTGTGTACGCAGCAATTTTTGTTAGGAGACTCACCCACCATTTTTAGGTGCGCAACCCGAATCAAGTCCAGATTAATCGGGATAAAACCCCAGATACCGGACGGAAAATCAAAAAAACAAAAAAAAGTCAAAATCTTGAAATAATTCAGGAAGAGAATAAAATAAAATAAAAAGTGCGTCAAATTGGGGAAATAATAGAAAACACAAATCATATTATAAAAAAATAAATAAATATAAACACTTAATTTTAATTATTTATTTAATTAACAAAATTAAAATATTTATTTTATTTTTAAAATTATTTAATTAAACAAAAATATTATCCTCCCCTTTTTAGTACTTTTTGTTTATTAAAATAAGGTTAACACTATTCATATCTATCTCTTCAGTTCTCCACCACCCTTTTCTTCCCCTCCCTTTCATTTTTTTTCCTTTATTAATTTTTATCTAAATGTATCACATTAGGCATCCATGATCATGTACATTTATCACTTATTATTTGAAGTATAATATTATTACATATTAAATAATAAATTATTTATTTTGATTAATGATTTAAAAAAAGTAATTTATTTCTATTTTTTTAAGTGCAAATTTATCTCTACTCCTATTTAAAAGTAAATTTAAGAGTTTGGCCTTCTTTTATAGGCTTTTTATTCTTTTTTGGTGTAACTTTTATTAGCGAAACACATGTATTGGCATCAGCAATATAATATAAGGGATTCTTCTCTGATTCTTTTTCAAAAAAT